TCGTCGTCTTGACAGTGAGTAGCGCTTTTCTGGCAGCCTGAAAAGTAACTGATTGATAGATCAGATACGAAGAGCTCCCGTCGATGAGGGCTTACCATCTCAGCACGTCGAACTGTCCGGACCATTGGGCGTCGTGACCGTCATGGTAATCTTGAGTCTGTTGTTGGTAAGCATACAGACAAGTGAGAAAAGATATAACAGACCCACCCCGACTTAAAACGTCGATGTCCTGCTTGTAAAAGTACGATCTATGACGGCAATGAAATGAACGAGTTTGCCCCCTCTTATTGGACACGTCATTTTGGTGAAACACTTCAAAAGGGCGTAGGCCCTTACATACGACGATTCCGCAATCTGAGCCGATCATGGGCGTCGAGTTGTACATCCCTTCTGGGGTGAAATTTTGTCGCGACTGATTATCAGAGAGTGTGTGAGACTGAGAGTTTATATCTAAAATGATTAGCTTCGTACGAGGTAAAAAGCTTGAGAAGAACTCACAAGCAGTGCGTACAGAGTGAAGATGCTAGTGTGTATGAGCGCCAGGCTGGCAGTGCCTAACACGTAACAAGTTGCAGCCACGGCTTATGGGAAGGGAAAGCCTGCTTCCTTCGCGTATAGTATCGATTCCACACTGCGCAAAAACCTACTACTCCCAATGTGGCTTGGAATACAGGAAGGGTGCTCGGTTTTGAACCTAAGGCTGGGCCCCCACAAACATTGTCACTCTGGAGAAGATGACACCGAAGAGTGCTTTGCTGGCGGCCTCAATGACGCACAACTTCACTTTTCGATTCATAATTAGATCAAGAAGTTTCCGTAAAAGCGTAAGACCTTACAGGACACCACTTCTACACTTGCCATTTACAACTTTTGTGAGGGAAGGATAATGTCCCGCCCAGTGGTCAAGAAATCAGATGGTAGTGAACGCCACGATGTCCTTAACGGCAAGAATGGTCAGCTTCAGAAAAGGGGCGAAGCGCAAGAAACAACTCACCGTGAAGGGCGCAAGATCGAAATCTCCGCACACTTGAGGCCACCCCACTCTGCACCGACGTCGCTGTCTACAAAGCCGCAGGCTCATAAAGGTCCTTTGTCTCTTTAAACCCATACTCCTCTTTCCCAAAGATCCCTCGGGGCCGGGAGTACGGTTGCTGATCGACATCTTCACGAAAGTCATGGAGGCCCATGGAGTTTGAGAGTAGGAGCTGAGAATCTAGCCAGGGGCCTTCCTTCTTGAGACCGAAAAGATGCGAAAGAGGCGATCGCCGACGAGGCCTGGGACGTAGCGGCAGTAGAGGTCAGATTCAGAGATGGCGGAGAGGTAGATGGAGCCGGTGTTGGCTGATTTGTGGGCGTAGTCGGCCATCCTGGTTTCAGTTTTTCAGAATAATCCAAAATTGAACTCGACGAAGTGGGGTCGAAGACGGACTCGACAAGGCCACGCCACGGTAGCAGGAGTGAATGGCACGAAGATGAAGTCGACGTCCAAGAGTCCAAAGAGGGAGCAACACCCCTACCATGCACGATACACTCCTGCAACGGTTTAATGGATGAACATGCTCCGCGTAAACATCCCTCCCTCTCGTTCGCATCCGCCGTCTGAGATTGGGCTTGAGAGGTACAACAAACGATGATTCCCGATTCCGAGAGATTATGTGCGTTTTGCGTGGAATCGAGGTTGTATCCCAAGTCCAACCTTTTTGTATCTCAACTACCTTTCACGTCATTCAGGCCCACAACTCAGCCGCGCGCTGCGCCCACCCATCATCGACTACGTCGATTTTAGTAGTGGAGGAAGGACTTTGCGTAGCGATCACGCGGAAATGACGAGGCAGAGTTTGTGTTGATCAAGGCGTACATGGAAGTTTGGAATTGAGGTGGAAGACGCGGGATTCGAAATGGAATGGGGGATTGAGACGGAAGGAAAACCAGAGGAAAACGTTGGAGGATTACTTTGCTGAGGAAGGGCCGAGTGCCAGTCATATGGGAATCAAATCGAAACACCCTTGCCGAGATTCCAGTGAGGTTTCAACCGCCCCTGCTTCGACACCATGTAGCTGTTTGAGGAGGTTGTCTGTACGAACACTTTTGGGTGTTTCCAGAGTGGTGGCCGGTGAAAAGGCCATTGATCATTATGCACTTCTGACGGTAGCAATTTTTCATTGTAAAAAGGAAGCTCAACATTCGAGAGACGTACCTTTGTCACAAGGTTTTCTGTTTGTGGTGCAACTCAAGGCCACATTAGACGAGGAGTGGATGATAAGGAGGAATGAGTCGTAATGTTTGCCGTATGTTTGTTGATTGAGTTGTCTAGAACGTTCACTACCACCATAGGTCCAAACGTTGCCTTATTCGCCGTGAACGTGGAATTTCAGCAAGACGGTATTGCGCATGCTCGCCGATCAAGGCGTTGAGAGGAAAGGTCCTTTCCTCTCATCATGATCGGAGTCAGCAATATTTCGCCCGGTACTTAGTCCCACTGAGAGGGAAATTCCGTTTTATTCATTCCATCCCAGTACGCTTTTCAACGATATTCTCTCAATAAGTGGGCCACTAACGTTAAACTTCAACAGCTTA